AAAGCGGCGATGGCCTTCGGTCGTTCCTGAAAAAAATCAGTCCAGTAATATTAACAATAAAATAAACATGAAACAAAACAAGCGTAAAAAATAAATACAACGCAAATCTTGTGGCCTCACCATGTATTCGTGATATTTGTAGAAAAGTTCAGACGTAATGTTACGCAAGTTATGTAGCTGATCTTCGAACTCCTGCAACAAAAATAGACGCGAGAATGTAGTAAAAAGAAGACTCCGCACTACCTTTGTGTCGGTTTTTTCCGTCTGTTCCTCGAGCCATTCATTCGCTTCCTTGAAGCGCTGCTGAATTAACTTTAATGTTTCCTCGGTTTCGAACTGGCGATACTTTTCTTCGGTCAGTTGCATACCTGTTTCGGAGATGAATGACTCGAGGGTGTTCTGCGTTTCCTCGCGCTCCTCCTTTTTCTGCTTGAATTCATCGATGGCCTTCAACCTTCAAAAACAAGACAAGGTAAGAGCATTTCTAAACGTATTTATAACAGTTTATCTTGTCTGCGAAACGGACAGAGAGCAAAAAATAATGCAGTGTTTAACAGGTGCCTGTAACTGTTATGGAAGAACAGCCAAATTAGGAATTAATTAATGTAAAAATTAAGCATGCTGGTAAGGCACAAACGTTTGTACATAATGCAACTGAAATCAAAACTTCATTGATAACTAAAGAGCATCGCAAAGTCTCCTGTCGTATGGCTGGGGGAGGTGAGAGGTAACGGTACAGTTCAGCGTTCAGATATCTAAGTCAACGAATGATCGCCACAGTAGCGCTTTGGAATTTCGACTGTACTTTCGTCGAGTTTCCGCAGCGGGCATTCGGAAATAATACGCTGCGCGGTCTGATGTTCATAGTCACAGTCACATTGTGGGAGGTGTCCGCGAGACCCGTGTCCCGTTCGAATCCGGTGTAACCTCCACAATCCTTGGCGACCCAAGTCCATGTCACGGGGTGTGGTTGGGTTGAAAATAAGGCCTTTGTTAACGGCCGCGGTGGAATCCCACTTCAAGAATTAGTGCTGGCATCGCTCGTTCCTGTGGTGGGTGGCGTGATTTCAGGCGTCGTGGTCGATGGAAGACATGATAAATGCAAAGCAGGCGATTCGTATTAATGATCTCGAAAATGCGTGACGCCTAAGGGTTGGTGCTGGGGTTCAATCTGGTCAAGAATCTGTAACCATTGTACTTAGGTTGGCTTCGGGGTTTCTGTTACGATTCAGATTGCTTTTTGAGGTGGACGTCTACTTTTGTCGTGTGGCAGCTCTAGCTTCAAACAGAAGGATACTCCGCGACACGGTAAACAAGTGCAAGGGCATTACTACAAACCACTCGGGTTTCTGCACCCCATGAAAGGTTTCGTAACAGATATGCTCCCGCCTTGTCTTCTGTTGTCTGTTTAACGGAAGGGTCTGATCATGAGTGACTTGTGGTAGACGTTTTTGAATTATTTCGTGCGGCATTTCTACGATGACTGCGGAACTCAACTGCGAGCTTTTCCTTGGCCACTGTGTTGATCGACGCGTCTTCGACAGGTTTGGATGTAGCATTCGTCAAAATAGCGAGGTCAGTCGTGAGTATGCATCGGTCTATTTATATAAAATACAAACAATTTGGTGAATCGGATGATTACCGACATTCCGGCTCATATTCAGTACGGAATTTACCAAATTATAAACAATGTATTATGATGTTTTCAGTATCCTCACAAACGCAAGAACCTAATACTGAACTCGGAAGATTTATGTTTCCATAAGATCACATTCCAATCTAATTAAAAGGGACACGAGAAAATTAAACAGTCATGCCACAAGAGTAACCAACAATAAGTGAACTCTAGATTTTTTTCCCGTTTGAAGCAAATGCAAATCTGCCTAAGAGAATAGCACTGACGGAACAAATGAGTCATCATTCATATTAATCCTCCCTTACTGCGTTGGCTGCATTCTGCCTGGAAGTTGATGACTCATGGGAAAGTCGAGCGGAACATCCATAAAATGCATGCTTGATGATATCGGAAAACTGAGAGAAAAATAACCCCATCGCTCTGCTTCGATGTTCAAAACAACGATATACTTTTGTCACTACTACTTAAAGCGCAATATGATAGATTATATCCAGTTTGCCAGTGTACATTACTGCGATCACGTAAAAAGGGGTTGCCCAGGTGGCAGCGGGTACAACTCAGAAACCGAGAGGTTCTGGTTTGGAGGCCAGTTCAGATCACTCGCCTATCTTCTTTCCGAGATTGACAGATGAGTATTACACTGTTGGAAGGAAACAAGCGAATAAAAACACCGCGTTTTACACTTAACTGCTGTCGACTACGCCTTTAAAATAAGGCGCTCCTGGCTGATGGCAAGGAAACGGAAATGCGTGCCGCACTATTATCTGCTTGATATGGATGTCAGAAATGGCCCCAACATGAATGGGTCAGGAAGACCGGCATTTTAATGGTTACAAACTTTCTTCCCTGTGATCAAGGCTTAAATGAAATACGTACCTTTTGCGCTTCTCGGCCATCCACTGCTCGGAAACAGTCAGTAAGTCAACCTTAGTTTCCTGGATACTCAGCGGCACTTTAAGAGAAACAGTTGTCGGCTGCTGGGCCGTCTTATTAATGGTTGTCGGTTCATTTACGAGCGTCGTTTTGTTTTCACTCGTCGCATTCTGAAGCAGTTAACTTTTCACTATAGAAACCAAAAACTATATAAATAGTTCAAATAATCAGTGCGCACCTGAGTAACGTTCACAGCGTCGGTGGCATTCAACACGCTTTCTGAGGATTCTGATGCATTGTTCATGAGCTATAAGATTTCTTTTATAATAAGGAGCCTTATAACCGCCTAAAACTACTATCCTTGTTATCATTAAGGGAAATAATATCGCAATATGTAACTCATCTTAATATAAATAAAATAAATTGTTCTTATTTTGGGTACCCATAAAATATAAACATTACGTTTAAATTAAAAAACGGAAATTGAGTCTTATATGAGTAAATTCAGTTCTAATTTGAATATATCTTAGAGGTACACCGCATATCCAATTAATTAAATACTATTCCAATATTTAGGACAGAGCATATGTTGCGTTGTGCCACAACGCGTAAGAGATCAGCTCCGAATTCCCGAAGTGCCAGGTTCGATTCCCCTCGGGTGGAATCTGTCACATTCAGAATTCTCTTAAGCAAGGAATTTACCACAACTTGCTTTAAATCAGAGTTATTTAACTGGTAGAGCGTCGACCTCAGTACCGATAGTCTTCCGAGCTGGAGCCAATGAGGTTGACGTTAAACTTTTTGTGGGAAGGAAACAGGATACTACAAAAGTTAAGCTTCTCACATGGCTGTAGACTGACCTTAGAAAAAGAACCGCTGGCTGATGGCACAGAAACTGAAATCACCACCGGACTGTCAACTTCATGAAATAGAATGGCCGACCATAAAGGTATGTAAGGAAGAGTGTCACTCAAAAGGTTAAAACTTTCTTCTCCTACTTAAATGAAGAGATAGTACGAAACAGGAATGTTGCCTCTCCCTTGACTGAACTGGATATGCGGACTCCTTCTGTGACGAATTTTTCGAATGTTTGTTGAAGTATTCATGATATTCTTCAATACTTTATCGGTGATATGTCTCTCTAAGGATGCCTATTTCTTTAAAGATGAAGTGGAATCTAGTTCGTCAGTCTAAAGAGGAGACCACCTTGTGGACTCGAGCAGAAACTCAGAGTGCCCTCGTTTACCATCCTAAACACGTGTCCA